ATTGTCTGTATGATTAAGAGAAGTTGATAGGTTATGGGTACGGCTTGGTTGTATGTACATCGTCTTCCCTCCTCCATTTGGCGAATGCAATATCGATCTCTTTGCTGTGGATCTCGATAATTCTCTAGGCTCAGCGACCGTTAAAATATTCTTTTTTTAAAAAAAATTTTTTTCAATTGTAGGTTAAAGAAATCATTTTGAAAATTCGACCTTCACATGATTTTTTAATATCTTTAATATAATTATGTGTTTATCTCTGTTTTTCACTATTCTAAAATATTTAGCAATATTTTTTGAGGATTTCATTTTAACGTTTGGCTGTGTTTTATTATTTATGTTTCATTTTGTGTCTGTATTGTAATATAAATATTCAGGCAATAAAATTTGAGCGCGTATTTGGATAAACTGGGACCGTTTTTGTGCCATAGTAGCAGTATTTATTACTGTTAAGAAATAAATAACTCTGAGGTTCTGTTGGGCCGAAATTAAAAGCTTTTTTTATATACGCATAGAAAAGATACAAAAATAACATGAAAGATTTGGCGCAATAAAAACAGCTAACAGCAACTGCTGTTTTTCTGCTCTGTTCACAGCTGGACTAAGATCACATCAGATCGTTTGTTGAAAACTACAGCATATAGCAGGAAACTCTTTAACTGTATGGCATGAAGTATGTGCCCCGCCGCTCTAACCTAAGCGAAGCTCAGTCAAGTACTCATGGCAGGTACAATGAAATGGAAAAATTTAGAAAGTTCACAAGCGTCTAGCCGCCCGAGCTGTGATATTCCTCGACGAACATCTCTTCCTAAGTCTGGGAGAGATGATTCGTCGAGGCCAGTCACGTGGGTGGTCACCTACCCAAGTACTGACCCCGAGAGAAACCGTTTGAAAAATGGAGTTTTAGGTGAACCTAAGAAATGGGAAAAGAAAAATGATTAGAAATGAAAGTCCAGGTAATTTCTTCTAAAATTGGGTACTGGAATCATTTAGTTAGAGTCTTCAGCGAATTTCATGAGTGATATCTCTGCTTGGAAGCCAAGCATAAATTTTTCTGCAGTATTTCTTGCCGTACAGATTTTATGAATATGGTTGATGATGTTTCTTAATAAGTTATTGGTTTTAGGATCTCTGAGCCTGGATAAAGTTTCGATTAAGTCATCGGGTGGAATTTGAAGGGATTTCTTCATTTTTTCACTGTTACCTGTTCTTTGAGGATTTTTACTTTCGGTTCGCACTCCAGTGGGACGGTGTCAGATCACCTGGATACCTGGGCAAAAGCCCTACCCCTTGTAGAAAGGCAAGAAGTTTCGAATGCTAATGCAAAAGTAGCCAAAAAAGATGCTTGTAAGTTTTTTTAATATCTGGAAAGGTATGCTCACTAATTGTTGAAAAAACCTAAATAATTGATCGTGTATTATTAGAATGGGAAAAGCTGCGAAGAGCCGTCGAGCTAGTGAGCAAGAGCTAAAATAAAGTATATTAGGTAGTACGAATCAATTGGCACTCTGAATCCTTAAGAATAATTGTAGAAAATAATACTTGATATACAATCTAAAAACAAAGTACATAATGAAATATTAGACAGTAAGAATATTTAACAGCTAGAGATTGATTTGACATGCAGGTACCACAAAAATGTGACCAAAGATGTAAGTACAGATGAACAGGATGCTTAATAGACAGTGCAAAATAGTAAAGTAAGTAACATCAACCTTATAAGTAATTAATTGTTGTGCATAGCACTAAATATATCCTCAAATATTGAGAAAACAATAAACAGTTTATCTAACGAATTATTTGCAGCTTTAATTTCTGGGATTTTTGAGGTAAGTTTTGCTAGTACTTCTCGGTGGGAAATACTCTCGAACATTTTACCTAACTACCTGAGGAGGTTAATAATTTTAAGAAAAGCACTAGAGTCATCAGTCTTGCTTGTGTTGGAATCATTAGTGCTTGTGGCATGGCTAGAGCTTACATTAGTGTGTGCAGGTTTTTTTTACAACATCAGAATATGCAGTGAAGTTTATTAGCTTTTGTACTTGAATATGACATTGGGTTTCTTAGCAGTAATGTCTGCTCTGAAGATTAACTTAGATTTGTTTCATAGATTTTTTGTTTATTCGCAAAGACGCTGTTTGGTTTTTTGGTGCAGCCTTATTTATTCTATGGAGACCAAAACTGATCCACAATCGTTTGGTAAAGTTTCGAAACTGGAAAAAACTGAGCTATGTGTTACATATCAATAAGCATGAAATAATCGCGATCGTAAAAACTGGGTATTGAGAATTCTACAATATCTACAATTTTCTCAGCCATTCAAACTAAATTAAGTTTTTAAAGTTCGCAACACTGGGGTTAGCTAATGAACGCCATAATAGCAATGGTTTTAATTAACAAAAGTGGGTAGTGGACAAATTGGTTTTATATTAACAAGACATTCAATTAACGAAAAAATTTTTTAATTACACAATGTGTTTTGCCTACACTGGGTAATATTAAAATAGATGCAGTAATTAACATTAAACAGATTCATTAACACTGTGATGCTATTATGATGAATTTCACTAATTCTACATAGGATTTGAGCATTCTGGTTATGTAAATCTGAAATACCTTTTTCTAAATCAATAACTTCAGCTTTCGTAGATGATAATGCAATACAATTTTACTTTTTACAACACATTTATAGGGACAATCATTTAACATAATTTCATAGCCACACATTGATTACAATTAAGATGTACTCCTCAATCTGCGTCGTAAACGCCGCAAACAGAAATCAAATCAGAATTTTATCGTAAGGATCTTTGAATATACTAATTTTACTTTAGTGGATCCTTAAAGATAGCGAAGAATTTGTACACACCAAACAGCATCAGTAGAAATTTCTTGCAAGTAGCTTTAACAATTAACTGCATAGGAAATATCTGGTCTAGTCATGTAAGTTAGATAAAGTAACGAATCGAAAATTGCTCAATAGGGCTCTTTACAAGTAGATACGTTTTCGAAATCAGCTGACGTAGATTTAGGCTTCCCTGGAAGAGAACGCAGTTGGAAATCCAAAATTCTGCACTTTTCCAAAACCCGCAAGACGTAAGAATAAGAATAATTCATTTTGCTTAAACTGTACGCGAATTCCTAGGAATTCGGAAACTTTTCCAAATTTAGACACCCTAAAGAAATACAAGCAATACAACTATATACGCATTCAGTTTAAACTTCTTAGGAGCAATAACTCTGAGACTCCAGTGAACAGAAAATAAACGTTTATTTTAAATATGCATAGGAAAAGCTACGAAAAGAATATGAAAGATTTTGCGCAATAACAGCTGCTGTCGGCAGCAGCTGCTGCTACTACTGCTGCTACATGTTCTACTCTGTTCACAGTTAGACTAACTGCATCGATATTTATGTATGTATAGCTCACTGAATCCACAAGTCTTGATAAAATTTTACTGACTTGAGATGAGCTATACGTGTTTTACGTTATTTTTAAAAATATTAAATAATATACTATTAAGATAAAAGTGGGCGTTCAGTCACATTCAACAGCAATTGCGAAAAGCGTCTTCATTGGTAGTTATTTAGTTAAGTTAAAAAAGTATGTTCATATCTTACGTTAATAAACAATTTACCAAAATTTTCTAGATGTTAGAATATACTTCTACCATAAAAAACAGCGACTTGAAAACTTAGGTTATGTACTTACCCTTCGAAGTGTTTATTATTAAAATTCCAAAAAATTAAAATAATATTATTAAAAAATTAACTATCATAAAATTAAAAGAAATTGATTTTTGTCATTTTAATATTTTAACATTTTTAAAGCGAAGTAAGTACGAGAGATTTGCTAGTTTAAGAATCCTCAGAATTCCCTAAAATTGCCCCAGAAACCACAGTTCTTATATTTAAAATGAATTGTCCGAAATGGCCAAGAAAAATTATCCTGGAAAAAACTATGAATTTCTTAAGATTATTGTGATTGTGATATGATTATTTGATGATTTATGATGATTATTGTGATAATCATCATAAATAATGGTGATTATCGTTATTATTCATTTCATCATAAATTAAACCGACATAGATTATGATATGATGATTGATGATGATATTTATTCATCACTATGATTATTATTATTTATGACGATGAAAGTAGTAAATAATAATAATTTATGACTTTTATTATAAATTAAGACGTCACTGAGAAGAGCTATGTACTTATTTTATAAGATTGAAACTAATTAAGTATTAAATTATATCTTTCTATCCCTCCTGTGCGTTACATGAATTCTCGTACTTAAGTACAATTTTGAACTTCTAGAGCACAATGAGAATTGAAACTCGGCTAAAGTTTTATAAAAGCTACATCATACAGGAAAATTGAAATTTAACAAAATATAACCATCGCTAAATGCGAAAATTCAGAAAATACAACTGCTGAAGGTGCAATATTCAGTTAATTTACTAACCCGGTGGCATCTATCTACCCTCTAGCCTTCCCCACATGCTAGTAATAAGCATGCTAGCAATAAAATAAAAATCAGTCAATGAAACCCAAATCGATATACTAATGAATTTTTCAGGGGTAAACAACTTTCTGGCAATTAAACTAAAAATTAGATCACTATTTATACTCAAATTATTTCGCAGTCTAAGGAAAGAGACGATCCAGACAGGCCTTAACACAAAAGTAAATTGTTAGTTAAATAAAAATTATAGTCTAATAAATAAAAGAATTATTCAAGACGTAATTATTATATATTTTTTTCATTCGATCGCTTGCTTACGATGCTTGCAGCAAATATTTCAGTTTAGTGTTTATACTCTTTATTTTACCAGGACACTATATCTAGGAACTGAAAACAATGAAATCTCGTAGAAACTCCATTTGAGGGGTTTAAAAAAGAAATGTACCACAAAACCCTTTTCTTTTAATATTTTATTTACTTAATGTAAGCTTTATTCTATGTCAACTGTAATATTTGTTTTTATTACAGCGCTCTTGCCTGTGGGAGATTTATGTCGTAAGTATAACATTTTTGTGCTATTATTTTTATTAAAATAGTGTACTCATATAGCATGTCCTATACCTTTCAAAATGAAAGATACATTGTAAGGATCCTAAGATTTACTAACGTTTATTTTATTTTAAATCTTTACTATCACTTCTTATTTTCTACTTCCGGCCAGAATTAAAAGCTTTTAACTTATTTATGCAAATTTGTCTTGCTAACGCCAAGTACTTAAGTTGTGGCTTTTTGCCAAGCAAGAGAGAGGAAGGAGTTATTAGTAGCAGGCCGCTTGCCATAGTAGGTTTACTCGGTTGCTGGTTGCCTTCAAGGCCAGAGGTTTAATCCTCTTGATAATTTTAAAAGTATTGTAGTGTTACCAGTTCTCTGTACTACATACGCCTTTTTGCTAATATACGGCCAATCTTGGAGTAGGCACTTGTTTGATTAATCCAAAGTTAGTTTAGTTAGAGTTTAGTTAATATTTTTATATTCTTACGTTCAGACCACAAGTGGTTGGTCTCTGTATTCCGAAGTCCGGAAATCATTGTAAAGAGAGAAAAATAAAGGGTTTCGTATACCCTTCCTGTGTGTATTGTCTACTTCCCAAATTTATTGAACATAGCTTTAGTAAGCTCCCTGTTCCGAGTCAGGACAGTTAATGTTCCCAAAGCAAGTAAGGAGGAACACAGAACCTGATAGTGGCTGGCGCCCGAACGAAGAAGAATAACCATGGCCGAGTTTCAAGAAGAACCTGTGCTGCCTGCAGAAACGGCTCAGAATCCAGAAATGCCAGCTGCAGCCCTGGAAGGATTTGGTTACATCGTCCAGAACATGCGCGCATCGATGAAACCAGAACCAACATTAAATGGAAACTCACCGGTAACCAGTTTTTTGGAAAAATTGGATGACCACTTCATGCTGTATCCAGTACATGAGTTCCAGAAAGTCACCTTAGCTACCAGCGCTTTGAGGGGCCAAGCGCTTAATTGGTTCAAATGTATAGGCAGAAGCCTCTTGGGTCAAGCGGGAAGTCCCACCTATACTTACGAAAATTTTAAGACCGCCTTAGTAAAAGCCTTCCCTGTCGTAAGAGATCGTGCAAGATTAGAAGCGGAACTTTTCAGCATATATCAGCAACGAATCGAAAATCTTTCCACCTTTATTTTAAGAAAAATTCACGTCTTTAAACTCTTGTATGGAAACCGTCCGGATCCTCAGATAATCCGAGTGATTTTGCCGAGTTACTTCCCCAAGTACAAGACTTGGGGAACACGGCGGACATTGAATTAAGGAGTCCGACTATTCACGGCGGATATTGAATTAAGGAATCCGACTACACTGGAAACGTTATTTGAGCTAGCAATCCTGTTTGAAAGTAGAAGAACGGCGGACATTGAAAGAAGACGCCAGTATGAACAAAGAAGCCAATTTGGTGTGCCAAGACCACAGCAAAGTTAAGAACACGGCTACGGAAGCAAAGCAAATCAGTGGGCAAGGAAACCCGAGTATCCAAAAACAACCGGCGAACGTCGACAGTTCAATAGTAAGCCATAAAAATAGTCTGAAGGCCAGTGAAAAAAGAAGGAAGGCATGGAAAGGAAGAAACAAGATTTAAACTAAAACGGATTTCTGCTGACGGGAGGGTGCGGAAATCTGATGGCCAAGAAAACCCCTCTTCCTTCAAGTTAAATACAGTGATGGTGAAAAATTTGACTCTTCCAAAGATTGAAGTGTTGGTGAATGACATCCCAGCCACCGCACTCCTGGATACAGGCACGCAGTGTTCCTGTGTGGCAGAAGATTTTTTTAGGAAGTATTTCCGTAAATACCGCATATATAATTCGGATAATAAGACAGTGATAGCTGCGCAGGGAGAAAGATGCAAGTGCATAGGTAAATTACCGTTATACATTCGTATCAAGGACGAGCAAGTAAAGATTATGTTTTTTATCGTAAAGAATTTGCAAGCACATGTCATCTTAGAGATAGATTTTTTTTCAGAGGCAGAAGCAACGCTGGATTTTAACGAAGCGTCCCTTAAGCTTATCAGGGTCAATGTTCCTTCTAACCTTCTTCGGGAACATGCAAGGACCTGACTCGGAACAGAGAGCTTACTAAAGCTATGTTCAGAACTGTGGGAAGTAAACAGGATACACAAGAAGGGTATACAAAACCCTTTATTTTTCTCTATTTACAATGACTTCCGTACTTCGGAATACACCGACCCCGCTACTTGGTGTCAAAACGTAAAAGTATAAAAATAAAACTAAACTCTAATTTAACTTTAGAATAATAAACGTGGAAGATTGGCCTTATATTAACAGGAAGCGTGTGTAGTACAGAGAACTGTGAACACTACAATACGTTTAAATTTATCAAGAGGATTAAAACCTCTGGCCTGGAAGGCAAACAGCAACTGCGTAACTTCTAAGGTAAGCGGCCTGCTTCGACTCACTGCTTCCTCTCTCTCTCTTGGCAAAAAGCCACAACTTAAATACTTGGCGTTCGCCAGACAAACTTTGCATAAAAACCTTAACGCTTATAATTCTGGCCGGAAGTAGAAAATAAGAAGTGATAGTAAAGATTTAAAATAAAATAAACGTTAGTAAAACTTAAGATCCTTACATACTTCCCGCCAGAGTTAATTAGTTTGAAACTGAGGTCTAAAACGACCTTGTTGAAAACTTTTAGCTCTAGAATCTAACGCGAGGCCAATCTTTTACAAATAATTTTTCGCTAGAAACTAGAAATTTAAAAGAAAGAAATTTGTTTTTACAATAGCAGCTCCCAGGATACATAATTTTTTTTTCATCTGTACTGCATCTAAACAGGAGCTTTTATTCAATTCTGGTTCCTTCCAGAGATTTATCTTTGTGATATTAGGACATCCTTTTCTGGGGCCAGTCTTTAAAGGTATTGCAGATAGTAGTTTGATTTATCCTCCTTCTGGTACGGGCTCGCCCTTCAGGATCTTCCTCTGGAAGCTTCCTTTTTTCACCAGTTCGGTCACCCTTGAATACCTTCTTTTTCTCCTCTACTTGTGGTCTTGGCCGTTTGATGGCAGCTGGTCTTGGCGGAACCGGGAAACTTGTCGTGTTCCTGCTTGGACCTCGTTGCTGGCCGTTCAAATTTTCATTGTAACTTTTCCTCCGCCGCTGATGGCCCTTCCGCAGTTCGGCGACATTTGCTGCGGAGAGTCCTGTCGGATGAGTAGATCTTCCGTTTTAGAGCCGGGTTATAGTTGCCGTCATTTCTCCTGGTTCTCTTCACATACGTCGTCCTTCTCCCTTCTTCATTCTGGGGGTGTTCGTGAACTCTCTTTTCTGGACGGTGGAACGGCTTCTTTTTCTTGCTACCTTCAATGTTTCCGGGGGAAATTTTCTTTTCACTTGCTCCTGCCTCTTAATGGCTTGCCCTTGTACTTGTCGTTTTTCCACCTCTGGAGCTTGTGCCTGCGGTGTCTGCCGTGCCGGATCCTGCAAAAGATCTCAAAATATTTACATTTTATTACGATCAAAGTAGGGTTTGATTTGATCAATGTTTGCGGAGCAGGGTTCACCATTTCTGGCTTTTAACACTACTACAGCGTGAGTTATTTTTTTCTATAACATATGGGCCTTCAAATCGTGGAAAACATTTGGCAGTTTTATCTTCTGGTGCTGAAGAAAGTGAATGCTTAATTTTTAAAACTTCACTTCATCCCCTACTTTATAAGTTATTACTCCCCGTCGTTTCAAATCATAATAGAGCTTCTGTTTTCTCTTTGTGCTACTTCCGTATTCTTTTTGCTTCCTTAATTAGTTTTTTCTATATCACCCATTTTAAATTCTGGGGCTCTTTGTTGCACATAAAATAATTTATCTAACGGCGTTATAATCTTTCTGCCTAAAAATAACTCAGCAGGAGTTTTGCCCGTTGTATCATGTTTTGCGGTCCTAAGGGCGAAAGCAAATTCATTGACATAGTTATCCCAGCTTTTATGAAAATTTTAACATAACTACGGATAATTTTCACTATATTTCTATTGACCCGTTCCGCTATATTTGATTGCGGCCGATACGGGACCATTTTTAAATGACGTATGCCCAGTTTTTTGGCACATGTCTTCAGATATATTACTTACAAATTGAGGACCATTATCCGATATAACTTTTAGGGGCGCCCCGTATTTTAAAATATATTTATTTAAAATAGAATCAGTAACTAATTTCGCGGAGGCTCGTTTTAAGGGAACAATTTCGGTCCATTTACTAAAATGATCAACCATAACAAGGAGATAGCGATTTTTTTATTTAACTGACTTTTGGGAAAGGGCCCAATAAATCGATGCCAATTATTTCATTTGGAAATTCGGATTTAATACTATTTAGAAACCCGGCCCGGGCGGAAATTAATATAATTAACTGCTTGACATGTTGGGCAGGACTGGACATACGCCCTTGTTAACTTTTGCAGTTCAGGAAAGTAGACTGCCTCGCGTACGCGTTGGATAGTTTTTTTCGAATACCAGCATGAGAAGCTAAAGGGCTGTCATGGAGCTCCTGCAGGATATTTAATCTAAGACTAGCTGGGATAACAGGTCGAAATTCGTTGTTGGAATTCGTAGTTTTTGTATAAAATAATAGACCATCTATTAGTTCGTAATGGGCCGCCCTATTTCTTATCGCCACAATATCTTGGTGGCTAAAATTTTCAGGATCCTTTAAATACTCATAAATGCTTTTCAAACTCAGGATCCTTACCCAGTTCGGTTATTACAGTTTCTCGGGAATTTATTGTACATGCTGTGAGCATTGCCACCTTTACAGTATTTACCTTGTTCATCTATTTTTTATTCTGGATAGGGCATCTGCTACGATATTTTCCTTTCCGGGGGTATGCTTGATTACCAGATTATATTCTTGTAGCTTGAGTGCCCATCTTATTAACCTTGGGGATAATTTTTCCCTGAGTACAATCTAGTTACCGCCGCATGATCAGAGTACACTGTTATTCGGCGCCTCTCCAAAATA